TGTTGGTCCCTTCCCTTTGGCGTTTGTACCCTCGGTATGCTGTCTTGAGTGCCGAGCTGCTTGCCTTTTTTGCCACGTGCCGTGATTTGCGAGGTTGGGCCAAATCTTCCTTCGTCACAAACAATTCTTGTATGGCAATGCATCCAAAAAAAAAAGAAAATAAGCAATAGAAAAGCATAAAATTGCATATAAATAAAAATATTTTTTTAGAAGTAAACGGACAACTAATTGGGTTTAACTTGTATTTATACCTTTAAATATCACTAATATTTTAATAGAAAAATGAAATGGAAATTGTGCATAAAGCAATAAGGGAATAAAGACTCTTTTCTGTTTGCAAAGAGGGAAGTGGCAGAAAAACATAATGTTAGAAAATTAAATATGAATAAAACAAAATCAAAGGGGCATAGCCTCTATTGAGGGAGAGCTAGACAGAGAAAGATATAGTAAAGAAAGAAAAACTTATCATGAAGCCATCCTCCCTTTCTCCTCCTCCTTCTTCTTCCTCTTATCCTCTCCCTTATATTATCAAAACCCTCACATGTCTCAACTTTTGACAGCAAATGTATAAACAACTTTATTGGATGTATCAATATCCATGCATGCTACTACATTATAGGTGATGACATAAGGTGAGAACCTCGTCATTTGGCATGATTAGGCAGGTGCCTTGTGAACTAGTTAGCTACTGTATTTGAACAATTTGAGGCATCCACACAAGGCAACCCCACCCCCTCAAAAAAATGCTTTATGCCTAGGCAGGGTCTTGACAATTAATGATAAATGGTTAATATTGTCAGATACGGTTTGGTTCAGATCTGATTTGTCTGTAATCTGATATCCGAGATACAGATTCAGTTTAACCAAGTTGGATTTTGTATTAGGACCTGAACTTCATTGGCAGCCCTAGTTATAATGTTGTATAACCTCTTTTGTGTGTGTGTGTGTGTGACTCTCTATGATGACAAATTTAGTAATGCATCTATATGGAACCTAAATATTCTCATGGATTAAGTGAACAACTTTAAGCACTTTGTAAAGGACAAGCCACGTGGAAGCCTCTATATAGAAGGACATAAGAACCCAAGTTACATTTTAATAGACTTCTCCATTCCCCTAATAAAAGCCACATGGAAGGGTCTTATATAGGATATAGGGTTTTCCCTTGAGGCCCTCTTTCCAATTCATCCCTTTGATATGGCCTAACAAAATAACATCCTGAAGCTTTTGTAGGAGGAAGACACATTCATCAACCCCCTACTAAGTGGTTTCTAGAAATCAGATTCCAAAAAAAAAGTGTCACCTTGCATTGTTCCTATAACATGCATATCAAGGAAAAAAATTGGGGAATTAGATCTTTCCTGCACTCAATAAGTATTTATCTCCCTTTCTATCTCTGATTTCTATGTCTAGTCTCCTTCATCCTCAAGTACCTTTACAGCAAAGTTTTTCTTTGAGTCCATCATGTCTAACAATGTTATCAGTGCTCTTACAGTTAACAGGATTTGGATCTTCACCACTCTAAGAGTATCCTTTTATTTTTTTATTTTTTAATCAACACCTGTGACCTCCAAAGAAAGAGGATTTTGTGTTTTTACATTTCTCCTCGTGTGTTATGTGCCTGCAAAATGGAGAATCTGCTACCAACTGAAACACTGGAGGACTGGGGGCTGGGACTTTGGTGGAAAATCAGACAAAAAATTTACTAAACAATTGTCATTTATATGGTCTTATAGGTAGTGTTAGAAGAGAGAAACAAAGAGATTTTTGAGAATAAATCATTCTCATGTGAAGCACTAAGAAGCTTTGTCCTCTTTCTTCTAAGCACTTGAATGCTAGCCTCTGAAAAAATCAAAGAGATTTCCTTTGACAATAAGAGATATTTCAGACCTCTCCCAGCTGGCAGGTTGCAAGAATCCACTCTCTCGCCTTTTTTGTTTTTTTTTTTTTTGAGAAAAGATAACTGGTTGTACTTAGAAAAGTGAAGGTACATGAGAAGATGGCAATTAGATCACCTGCTTAATGAAATTAGATAACACATTCTGTTGTTGTCAGATCAAATCAGATGGATTGCTAAGGAGCTAATTCCACAGTTGATGGGTTAGCCAAGACAGGGATTGAGAGGGCTATTTTGTATAGTTGATAAGTCCATGCCTAAATTATTTTTGTTGTGGGTAGAACTTTCCAAACTTATATTGTATATTCGTGTACATACTCTCGTGTACATTTTTTGCTATACAACCTATGCAAGTGATATAGTTGCCTTTCTCAAAAAAAAAATGTACTAAGATAAATAAAATGTTCCTTTTGATAAAGAATAAATAAATAAATTGATCCACCAATCTAAGTAGAAAACTTCTAGAACATGCATATCAGGTGTTTCATATGAATAAAAAGCTTTTTTTTTACTCTCATATTTTCACAAAGGGATGGTGTTTAACATATAAAAAAAAATAACTTTTTGAAAATGCCTTAGAAAAGGCATATCAATGAGTTCCAATATGATACAATCATATCGAATTTTGAACCTTGGATTGAACTGCAGTGCTAAAAGGGAACAAAAAGTCAACAGAATAAGATAAATCTAGTTAAATGATGAAGTTGAGACTTGAGAACCATACCAACCAAATGAAAACATCTGTCCCATGGTCAAGGACAACTGCTGCATCAGACTGCATGGCCAGGTCATATGCCGGTAGTTCCTCGAAAGTGCCTCCTTCCCGATGCATTAGACAACGAGGAGCCACCATACGAAGTGACAAATCAAATGATGCATTTAGAAACAAATTCCTCAAAACAGACCTCTCATCCTCATGACCAACAATACATCCTAAAAGTGGCCCCCTCCTAAGATGGAATAAATTCTCTGGCAATGAGGAAAGTTCCTTGGGGAACTGATAAAGTTTTGACTTTGGTAATTGGGATCCAAATTTCAAGGCAATGTCTTTAACTCTTTCATCTATCACCATTCTCATATCAATTGCATCAGAAGATGTTTTGGCTTGCAATAATGTCCTCTTTGCAACAATAACTGCTGCTACTTGATCTTGAACACTCTCCAGATAAGCTGAAACACTATCCACAGTTGACAATCTGACAGTAATCACTCTAGAAATATCAGCTTGATAAATGTTTGAATATCGAAACACAAACTGGAAGAAAACATAATCACTTTTGATGTCTGCTTTTGTTTCCATGGAGAGTGAAAAGCTCTGTGTTTCTTCAACACTTAACATTTGGATAGAGAAAGAAGTATCATTCTTGAAAGTTTCATGAGAGTCTGAAAATGCCTCTTCACCAGGCCCTATGACTTGAGTAATAAGAATATCATCAGAACAGCGTATCTCCAACAAACCATGGCAACCTCCTGCCCTGGTAGATGTTCTTTGCAAGTTTACACCAAAGGCCTCCCCAAAATCATCATGAAGAACTAGAACACCACCAGATGTTTTAGCAAGAGGTTGTAAAACAGGAACTCGTATTGGACATGTTCCTGCACACAGGATGTCAACCACTGTATCATGTCGATGAGCCTCACGACCTAGATTCTCCATCCACTTCAATGCTGTTTTCTCCATATAAGGATAGTTTGGATGATTGAATGAATGTGGTACTGACCCAGGGCCATAAGTATTAGGTCCACCAGCACATACAATGATTCTGGAATTACCTCCAGGCCTTTTCACCACTCCTCGAGATATATCAGCTGATGGCCCTTGAATTATTGCTAGAGCTATCTCAACCGCTGTACCCAGACACCTGTCTCTCAATGTTTCAGGCAAATTCAGTTTGTATGGTCTCAGAGATGAGAAGATGGTGTGTGCAACGGGCAATGAAGCATGAATAGGTGTCAAGTATACACCAGTTCCATAAATCAATGCTTTCAATGACTCCTGACTCGGCGATTTGTCACCAGGAAGAACATCAGCTGACGCTGTTGATCCCTCTGAGAAGTCATATACTGACACTGTCCGACCATAAGATATGATTCCAATTCTTGTGGTTGGTGGAAGGGAATCCACAAAAGCATGTAAAGAGCTCTGTAAATGCTGAAGGTGTGCTTCATCTAAACACTCATCTATGACAAGAAAAAATGGTGCTGACATCCTGGAGTCAGATACAGGAATAAACCCAGGTCTTTTACTCCCAGTTTGAACATAATCAACCAATGGAGATGAGAGTTCTGGCCAATTACAAAGGTCTTCCCTGCTTGGAGCCACATATTGCCCTTCGCTTCCATTAAGTTTCCTACAAATTATACACTGCCACTGCCCCAAGCCTAGTAAAATATTGCAATAAAGATTTGCATAAGCTCCACAATTTTGGCAGCGATGAGGATCCCGTTGTATTATTTGTGGGCCCGGTGAGATCTCTCTCCCAGAAGAAACTAACACCCCAAATCCCAAGCTTGGGACATTCGCCTGTTTTTTATGTTTCAAAACCTATAAAATAAAATTGACAATGTGTAATTAAGAATGACAGAAAAACTGCTAAGCCCACAAAACATGAATGGAACCATTGGCATACTAAGCTCTTTACGACCAAATAAAATGATATGGAGAGAAAATTATTCAAAAACTTAAGCATACAGTGGTACAGATCTTTATAAACAGAGTGAAAGCATAATCAGAGATTGGTACCTTGTGAGCAGAGAATAGAACATATGGTGATTCCCCAGCTAGCATGGAAAGCTTCGTGCCATCAGAAACTTCTGGCTGCAATTCAACTGACCCATTTGAATAATGGGAAGGAGAAGATGTGGGCAAGGATGAACCTGAAGAAAATGGGACCAGCTGAGGTGATGAGGAAGAGGTCCAGAAAGGCACAGATACAGGCTGGGGTAGTGATGAGAACAAAGGGGGGCCAGGAGGAGTGCTAAACTGAGGAACAGGACTTGCAGCTTTAATTCCATTGGCTGGAGTTGGTATACTAGGGGTATAGCTTGATGAAGAAGGGAGTTGATCTTGTTGTGACAATTGCGGTGAAATCCTGGATACAACAGGAGAGGAGAAGGGAGGGGGTGTCAATCTTTTCTCGGGGCGAGGTGTTGGCATGTTTGGGTGTGGGGGAGAAACGGTAACAGTGTAACCAGGAGGAGGTGGTGGTGGAGTAGCCATTGATGTTCAGATTTATCCCAATAAATCAATGTAACGCTCTAGAATCTTGAACTGCAACCCAATTTTTGAAGGAAGCTAAAAACACTTCAAGGGAGACAAACCCAATTCAGATAAGCGGATACAGATGAGATCTTTGAGCTTGAAGGAAAGTGAGGTGTTCGATGCGATTGTCAAATGTCAATGAACTGCTCAGTAAAATAAACAAAACAAAGAATTTCAACAATTCACCATCTAAACCTGGAACCTGAAGTTTCAATAAATTTATATAAACAGATTTATAAGCTCTAAACCATTGCAAGTATATAATATCATCAATTAGAATCCAACCTAAAACCATACCAAATAAAATCCTAAATCCAACGACGCAACCAGGAAAAAAGAACAGGTCTTGATTGAAACCCAGCTCAAAATTGTCCGAGTACAGCTACAGACATCGATGAAGAACACTGAAAGATTTGAAATTTCACCTCCCAGATCAACTTCCAGTACAAGAACAAATGGGCCTTGACCAAACCAACTCAGAACAAAAGAATATAGATGGGACGTATGAATCTGCACTCTCAAGAGATCCCTGTTCCAGGTAAAAAAGTGTATCACGATAGAAACCCAAATAAGAAAAGAAAAGAAAAGGATTGGCCGTGACGGTTGAAACATTCTCAGGAAAAATTATCTAAATTTGCAGCGTGATCTGAGCTTATTCTGATAAAAAAGGTATCAAATTGAACAGAGTGAAAGGCAGAATTCGATTAAGAGCATTACCTGTTGAGAGTAAAAAGAGCAAGATTCAATCGAAGGAGCCAAGCGTCGACAATATAAGTCACATATAAAAGTTGAATTGACCTTTCCTTTCTTTTTGTCTTTCGAAGCTCCCCTCCACCCCTTCCCTCCTGGTGTTCCTGTTAGAAGGGACCAAGACCAAGGCATTGGCTCGAAAACGGAAGCTGTTAATCAGTGTGCCTTGTGCGGGGGAAGACTTTCTTCTTACCATTAGTGACGCGCGCGTTGACAGTGCATTGTGTCCAACTGCCAAACTAAGGCCTTCGGTTTCATTTGTTTTTTGGGTAAATTACAAAGACTCCCCTGTATTATGGGGTCTGTGAGTGACAAATACCTGTTATACTTTCACCGTGAGATAGACCCCCTTCCGTTAATCGTCCAAAAAGATTATAATTCTGTCGTTGCAACAAACTTTAATCTCCATACTGCCCTTGTGATAATTATTTGGATAATTTTAACCCTCTTTCCATTTTTATACGTTGCCTTAACCTTTCTTTATTTCTCCCTCACGATCAAGTTTCAGTGGCAAAAGCTCCCCCCTGACACGAAGTGCGAGTTGCGACTTGCGAGCAAGCGGCCTCAACGTCTTCTTTCTTCTCTCACTCGCGCTTTCCGATCTCAGCTCAGGATGAATTCTCATGTGAAACTTTGCCATCGTGGTGAAGATAATGGGACGAACAAGGTCAAGGGGGCAGGTGACTCAAGTTAGAATCGAGTTTATGGAAGACCAGAACAGGCTTTATCATGAGGAATGTAAGGGGCCTGTTAGGGAGGGTGATATCCTTACCTTGCTCGAATCCTAATGGGAAGCTAGGAGGTTGCACTGCCTCTGAAAGATTTTTTTTAGGTCTATCTCCATTTCAAAGCAAATTTTGAATTTACATTAGTGCATTTCTTGTTCTCATTCGAAATTGGCTTGGAGTCTGCTGGATTATTTATTTGGTTGAGCAAGAATTCATTTAGAGCCAAAAAAAAAAGCTTCATAGTGAAGCTAGCTACAACAGTGATCACCTGGGCAAGGGCCAGGTGAAGCTAGCTATAATTACCATAATATGGATACTAAGCCATGGTTATCTCTTGCCATTTCGAGACTTGTGGGAAACAAGTGTTTATAAACTATTCTTCTTCGGATACAATAGATGATTCACAAACCAGCAGCTAGGGCTGTTTATGGGTCAGTTTACTATTTTTTTTTCGATCGATTCGACCTGGTCGGGTTATCTTAAGATTAAATCGAAACCGACCCTCTATTAAGTAAAATTGACCTAGTCGGTTTAGGTCAGTTTGGATTGTTTTGGTTTAGATACATATATATTTCTGAAATATATATTTCAGCTTTAAATATATATATATATATATATATACATATTATATATAATATTTCAGAATATATTTTCTGAAAATATATTTAAAACTGAAATATACATTTCAGAAATAAATATATATATATAACCAAAAATATATATATTTAAAACTGAAATATACATATTATAGATAATATTTCAATGAGAATCTGAAAATACATGTAAAACTGAAATATATATTTCAGAAATATACATATTATATATAATATTTCAGTGATAATATATTTATAGATAACTCGGTTCGGTTTTGGCTTTCATGTGTAAAAACTGAAACCAAACCGAATTATCGGTTTACCCATCTTTCCAACCCGAAACCGACTGGTGGTGAAGAAAAACTGACTAGATCAGATTGGGTCAAGCCGATTTGATCGATTTGAATTTATTTATAAACAGCCCTACCAGCAGCAACAAGGGCTAAGGTGACAATTGACAAATGTTTGTGAATCATTGGGAAACAAATCGCAAGGATGGTTAAACTCCAAGCCTAGGTATACACTCCAATGGCTCTAAGATTTGGGTAGGTCCTAGTAAGACCTAATTGTTTCGGTTGATGCCCAAATTGCAGGAAAAAAGAAATTGATTGATCATTCTGAATGGTGATCTTTCTCTGTGAATTTTGAAAACCCGATCGTATGTTTGAAAAAGAAAAATACATGGACTTCCAACAACTGTCTACAAGAAATTACATGAATCAACAACCTGACCCTATGTGCTCGGTCCAATTGACCCATAAGTTACTCACCATTCCATCATTCCAGCCCAATGAATATCAATGGCTACAACTTCATTCAAATTCGATGACCCTTGTCTAAATTTTGATGAATTATATAGGATGCTTCCTGCACCATTAGAGAAAAACTAATGTTAGGGAATGATTATGTACATATAACTTACAATATAAATCCAACAAACATGATGCACTGACAATTTAGTACATCGCACCTAAGATACTAAACTATAAAACAAATCAGAATATTATTTACTGACACACTAAACCTGATTATGAAAGGAACTGAATGATAAACGGTTTGAACAACTTTCCTATTTAAGAAACTTCAAAAGATCAACCATATAACTGTTTTTGTATTACTTTGTTCATCAGTAAATTGATCAGTTGATTATCAAACCACTATCACTGTTTGCTTGGGTTTTAGATGGTGCAACAATGTATAATTTCAATGAATTAGATACTGTTAAATACCTCAATCTGGACCTCTCATGACTCAACTAATGCCCATGTCCATAACAGGTCTACTGCTATACATTGGGCTTGAGTGTTGAGATTTGATACCAAGGACTTTTACACTGATTGTAAAGCTATGCTTAAGACAGTCAACATTCAATTAATGTTGGACTCGGTTCATGTTTATGGTCTTTATAGGTTGGCCTGGCACAGTAATCAAATGTATAGACTATTTGAATGAACCATACTACTGAACATAGAATAATGGAATATTGGTTTTGTATCTCAATTTCATATGCACCTAAGACATTAAACAATAATCAAATCTAATTTTTAAGACAATAATTCATTTCAATTTAGACGGTTCCTACCACTTGATATTCAACGTGAAATGTGTTCTTCTTTTCATTTCAATTTGGATGAAAGATTCACTACCATGGATGGGAATGATGTATCCGTTGACCATGTGATTAGGGGTGTCAATTGGATTGGATTTAGTCCATTCTGATCCAGTCCAATGTGAATCCATTATAAATGGACCAGGTCCAATCCAATGAATATTTTGGACTAATTTGGACCAGTCCAATTCAATGTCTGGACCATCCAATATGTTCAAATTCATTCTGATTTACATTGATTTCAACCCAAACCCGGTCCATTGATACATATATTCTTATCGTATATCAATGGACCAGATATTGGCTTAATCCAACCCAACCCAATATAAATTTGTTATGGATGGACCAGGTCCAAATCTAATAAATATTTTGGACCGGATTGGTCCAATCCAATATGTCTTGTTGGTCCGTCCAAATTGATTTTAGACTGGACAGGGTCCAATCCAAAACCGGTCCATTGACACCCTTACATGTGATTGCAGAACTGATTGAGATGGGATTTGACTTTTGTATAGTTACAGAAGCTATAGAAGCAGTTGGCCCATCACTAAACAATGCTATTGAGTTCCTCTTGAATGATTCTTGCAGAAAGAAAGCATGTGATTCATCTGGTTCAAAAAGTTCTACTAGTAATGCACAAAGTTCAGGTGAAAGGGTTATTCAAATCTTCAAAATCTCCGGCCCGGATGAAACAGTCTAGTATCATTGAGCATCTCCAATCATCAGGTAGAACCAAAAGAAGCAAGATTCACGATGCATCCAATACATCCCATTCTAGTTCAAATCATGGAGCATCTTCCTAATATGGATCAAAATGTTAAATCACTATCTCCTCAATCATCCCTACATCTAGATTATAGTACACAAGGCCAAGTTTTAGGACTAGATTGGGAGCAGAAAGTCAATTACATATTAAACAAGCATTTTGGCTTATCATCATTTAAGAGTTTCCAAAAGGAAGCCATAAAGGCTTGGTTAGCTCATCAATATTTGTCTTGTTCTTGCTACAGCAGAATCTCATCAAATGTTTTCCTTACATATTTAGTTACAATTATTATCAGTAATCAATAAAGCTGATTTAACTCTTGTTTTAACAACTTTTATCCTCTTCATCCACCTGCCTTCAGACCTGGCTCTATTTGTGAAGGGCCTCTGTTTTCACTCTTCTTAGAACCAATGTATCATATATTGACATATCCACCTACTGAAAAGAGATTTTCTTTTCTGGCAATGGCGACACAGCTTTTCTTCCCTAGCAACAATGTGATATTTCACTCCCTTTCTTTTACGTTCGGTGATATTGGTGCGAACTCTAGCAGAGATCGGACTCAGAGGAGTTGAGATAGATTACATGAGGGTTCTTGACTGGGTTTCAAGCAGGGCTTAGGTCAAAAGTGAAAATCTATTCGAGAACAGTGAATAAGGGTTGGGGTGTCTATTTTCATCATTTTGAAAATATTAATTCAATTGTGCGAAGGATATTCTTGTCAAATGACCCCTTCTGTTAGTTGAGTTAACGGGGAAGGGGTCTTTGTCTCACAGCTTAGGGGGGGGGGATTTTTGGGAAAATTCTCCATTACTACCCTGTACTTTGGACCTAATGCCACTTTGGTCTCAAACTTTAAAATGCGACAATTCAATACCCAAACTTTCAAAATGTGTCAATTTAATACCTACCGTTAACCAATTGTTAATCAGTCGTTAAGTGGGCATTTGAAAAGGCATAGATGCCCTTCAAGTGTCATCTAATTTTCTCTATTAACCATCCAAACGTTGACAAAAAATGAATAGTCTCAAATCCATTTCTCTTCTATTAAAGAAAGTTGGGGTCACGTCTCAATGGGCATTTTGGTGATCCCAACTTTTTTGAATAGAAGAGAAAAGGATTTGGGACTATTCATTTTTTGTCAACGTTTGGATGATTGATAAAGGAAATCAGATGACTCTCGAAGGGCATTCGTGTCTTTTCAAATGCCCACTTAACGGTTGGTTAATAGATGGTTAACAGTAGGTGCTAAATTGACACGTTTTGAAAGTTCAAATATTGAATTATCGCGTTTTAAAGTTCGGGGACCAAAGTGGCACTAGGCCCAAAGTACAAGGTACTAATAGAGAATTTTCCCTTTATTTTTTTACTCCTATTGTCTAAAAATTGCTTTAAATTATACTTAAGTTTTCTAACGATTGACAATCGTTGATTACCATTAACACAAAGACTAAAAAGGCTATTTCACCCTTCAATCTTCTTTAAATTTTCAAAATGGAAACAACCACATCTCAATTTATGCCTTTCCAAAATAGAAGGGAGAAAGACAAAGCTCTTAGTACATAGAACCAATTTGACTAGGAATGCAAAACTCCAACAGTTTCCACCACCAAGTTTGGTCCAAGAATATAATTCATCTTATCAGAACTTTGAAAAGTTATCATGGACTTTCACGTCCCCTCTTTGATCTTTGATGAAGATCATAAGCAAAAATCTATCATTTTTCAACAGATTCATCTCTTGCACTACGTTCCATATTTCCTCTACGGTTTGGGTGAGGGATATGATTTAATTTCATCAAAATTGTTGGAAACTATTGAAAATCAATCACGTCAGAGAGAGTTCTATCACCCATTCCAATGATGGTATTCCCTCGTACTGCATATTTACTTAGATACACAATGCAACTGAGGTTACCTTTTGTGGCATCAATAAGACGAATGGAAAATTTTATGTATCTTTTTTTTCGGCAAATGAACAACCTATGTATTTGATTTCAATGCTAGGTACTATGTATCATTGCCTAAGTTACATGCTGAATTGGTATCCCTTGTTGAGCTCTTAACCAAGCATG